ATACAATTTTACATAAATATTACGGCGCTTATATTTCAAAGGAAATTTAATTTATTCGGGTTCTACGAGGAATTTAAATAGGCTTTCACGTGCAGGTAGAAATGCCTGGGCTGTGGCCTAAATAGACATAAAGAATAAAATTTCTCGTACACAAAAAGAAGTAAAACTACAGAGAGGAAGTTATTCCATTCAACTAGCATTGCTGAATACGAAAGTGTCACAATTTACACATCTTAAAAGAGATGCACATAAATATCTGGAATTATTGACACATTTGAAAGAACTATACCATTTGACCCAAGATGTAAAAAAGTATACATTTCAAGGTAAGTGAAGGAAGAGAAGGAGCAAGCCAATGGCGCGAGGGGAGAACATTCCAAGCCAAGGAATCTGTGAGTGCAAAGGCCCTGGGGCAGAAATGTGCTCTTAGGAATATTGAGGAGGCTAGTAAGGCTGAAGACAAGTGAGCAGTTTTTATGTTGCACTCTAACAAGATACTACATTAATGTCTGTTAAATCACCATTCTGCAAAAAAAAATCTGGAAACAGGCATGTCCAGGTAAGTGTGTCCACCAAAAGTTAGTGTGTGAATTGATCAAAATTTACCACTGGGGGGAACATGGACAGGGTTCTCAGCAGAATATCAAGAGTCACCCCAAGCACAGCTGGCCAGGGACTGAGTTGTTGATGGCAAAAGACACATCCAGTTAGCACCTATCCTACTATCTCCTAGGAAGTGCTGGGCTGAGTCCCCATTCACAGCTTACACCGGGCATGGGCGTTACATTAAGGAAGGCAGATGTCGTGGGCTCGCCAAGAAAGGCAGCTGTGCCCAGAACTCTTCCCCTGGGAGGTGGAGGTCTTGGCTCTGCTGACTCCAGCTGGACCTCCTTCCCGGCTCCTGGCAAACCACAAAGACCCTAATGTGACAAAATAAAATGTGGGCACGTCTAAACATTTCCCTTTTCCTTTTATCAAGATGTGAATGATCTGAACAGAGGCCTATGAACTCTCTGAGAGACCCATCTCAATCCCCCAGAGCAGGCAAACAAAGACTTCCACTCGCTAAAGAAAAAGTGACAGAGAAAAGCCATGTGCAGGAGGTTCAAAGGAAAGGGACAAATGAGAGAAATGAAATGCAGTTCCCTTTATGAAAGAGCCATAACGCAAGACTATTATTAGTTGATCATCTCAAGAAGTTTCGAGGTAACACTGCACCCATTCATTCATTCAAAAAATACTGTTAAGTGTTAAGTGCTAGGGAGACAATGGGGAGTAACACATACTGGCCCACGTCATCCACCCTCGTGAGAAGGGCAGAAAATAAATAGTAACTGACAAATAAATAGTGACGAGTTATGAAAGGAATATGATGTAGAACAAAAGAGTGCTGTGATTAAAAAAAGAATGAGTGCTCTTTCTTGAGGTAACTGTGGTCAGAGAAAGCCATACTGAGAAGGTGGTAGTACAAAAAGTAACAATGATGACAGTAATACTAGCAGCGAAAATTTAACTAGCACTTACCATGTCCCAGAAAATTGCTACATGCTCTTTAGGGATTATCTCATTTGATTCTTACACGTTATAATTGTACTATTTTTATCCTCATTTGTAGATGAAAAACAGGCATAGTAATTTTTCCAAAGTCACTCAGACAAGTTGTAAGCCGGAGCTGGGATTTCAACTGTCAATCTGAGTCCAGAGCCCACGTTCCTAATCATTTCATCCATCAAACCTGGACCCTAAGAATGGGAAGTCCAGGTAGAGGGAATGGCAAGTTCAAAGACCTCAGGGCAGAAAAGGTCATAGGTACCAGGACTGGAGAGAAGTCAGACAGGTACCAGCATGAGGGAGAGACAGTCCTTAGATGAGGTTGGATGTTAGGCTGGGCCAGAACACATGAAGAAACCTATAAGGGTTGGTAAAAAGATGGATATTATTATAAACACAAAGGACTGTAAGCTGGAGAGGGCATGATATAATTTGTGATTGTTTCTTTGTTTTTATTACAAGAGCTGCCAAGTAGGAAACGAATTGGAAAGGGCAGGAGTAGTTAGGACATTACAACCACAGTCCAGGAGGCAGATGGGGGTAGCACAATAACCAATTAAGGGCATCCAGCTAGAAAAGAAATCCCATTTCTCAGGTCTTATCCTCGGAGCAAACAAACCTTAAAATCTTGTAAGTTTTTAAATCTGTGACTTCAGTATAAATAAATGATCCAATCTTCAATGTCTTCATCTATACAAAGGGGAAAGTAAAATATACCTCATAAGGTTGGTATGAAGGCCAAATATAATGTTGCATGGAAAAGACCTGTATAGGTCTTTGTAGAAATGCAATTTATCTTAGAAACATAAAATGTAGATCAAGCAAAATTGTATGTTCAAAAATACTGCTTGAGAAATTAAAACTATCTGACATAAAAAGCATGGAGTGAAACAAGTGAAAAATCTAAAGCTCAATGAAAAACCCAAATATAAATAAGATTCTAGACACCGAGCAGGTACTTGCTGCAGACTGAGTGTTTGTGTCCCCCCAGGGTTCATATGTTAAATCCTAACGCCCAAAGCGATGGTATTTGGAGGTGGGGCCTTGGGCGGGTGATCAGGTCATGAGGATGGCGCCCTGACAAATAAGATTAGCGCCCTCATAAAAGGCCCCAGAGAGTTCCCTTACTCCTTCTGCTGCATGAGGACACAGCAAAAAGACAGTCCTCTGTGAACAGGAAGCAGGCCCTCACTGGATACCAAATGCGCTAAAGACTTGGTCTTGGACTTCCCAGCCTCTAGAGCTGTGAGAAATAAATTCCTGTTGTATAAAAGCCACCTAGACCATGGTATTTTGTTATAGCCGCCCAAATGAACGAAGACAGTACCCTACGTGACCAAGTATAATGAATGAATGTCACCAANGAGCTGTTGTTCAGCATCTTAGCTGTGGAGGGCAGTGTCACTGGCCCTCATATGTGGGATCCAAACCAGGGCCCTCTGGCGTCCCAAGCCAGTTCTTAACCAACGTGCCACTCAGCCAGCCCGAGTGATAAATTCTTTAAATAACTAAATTTAAAATTTTTTATCAATAATTGTATCAATAATTCACTTTTAATTGTATAATTTCCTATATAATATTTTATTTCCTTAATTCACAAAACACACACACACACACACACACACACACACACACACAAAAGACCTTCTCATTCCTGAGACATCAGCCAGGTTCTCTGTCATTTCTTTGACTGTGTAACCAAGCAGCAGTAACTGAAATGTTTTCAGGTGCCGAAATTTCGACATTTAACGAATATTTATTGATCCCAGGGCCAGGCACCCTGTAGGTGCTACGAATTATAGAATAAATGCAACAGATAAAAGCCCCGGCCTTTATGGAGCTCACGCAAAGGAACACTTAGATTCCAAACACCATATTGATTCAAAGATTTACATCATTTTTTTTTCAAGTAGAGAGTGGGGCCAGTAAGGAAGTAGCGTCATGCCCCTTTTAATTTGTGTCATGAATGAAAGTGACTCTAGCTCAGCATGTTCCCTCAGTTCCTCCTGAGAAAGGCAATGCCCCTGGTGTGGGAAGTCCAGGGACTTCTAGGCAGCAAATAAGGAGGGAAACCACATCAAACTCATAATCAATTAGGATCCAATGTTTTCTATTTTAAATATTACAAATATGTAATTAGTATAGGCTCTCTCCCAAAACACAAGAGACCGTAGTTTTGTCCACGGAAGCAGAAATTTCTTAAACTATATCCTAGAGGATGGCAAAGGTTCTTAATCCTTAAAATACCTAAATATATTCCCCAAACTGTTAAAAGCATACCATCGTATAATATATTATTAGCATAGATAAGGAAAAACCCAAATAAGTTCAACTTATTTGATAATGACATGTACTTTTTAATTGGACTGTGTGCACTAAAATTTTCCCTTTATGTTCTCACTGTATTAAAATGAGTCTTTATAGCTTGAAGTTAATGCCTTTAGAATGTTGAAAGGGACTTAAATTAGATAGAATGGTCATGTCACTGACAAGTTACATCACATTATTTCTCTCTCTCTCTATCTTGCGTGTGCGCACATGCGTGCACATACACAAGTACACATCACAGTTTATAAACTATGTAAAATGCAAAACCCTATTGGTTCTTTAAAAAGTAGTCACTCTAGGAACTAATGCTTCCTTGAATAATGTTCAATATTATTTTGAAATTCCCCTTTGCAACTGGCTGCAGAGTCTACTGACAGGCAAATAAGTAGAGCCTGGTGAATTTTTTTCAACACATGGGACTTTCAAAACAACGACTGTCATTGTCCAGTTGGTTCACAAACAGAACTCTTGACTATTTCCAAACATCAAATCCGTCTTCAAAGGATGAAGATTTGACATCATCAAGATACTCAAGAAAATCTGAAACAGGCTCTGGAGGTACTTCCAAGGAAGAAATGTAAAAACATTCAAGCAACAAAGTCACTGTCAGACCTCATTTATTTGGACGTTGAGTCATTCAAGCATTTACTACCCGCCCATTGGCCAGATACTGGGGACTGTTTTACGTGGTAAACCCTCATTCAGATGCAGAACTTCTGGTGTGCTTGTTAAAAGAAGAAAAGAAAAAATCACTTTATAATCGCACCTCATTTGTGGCTTGCTAGTATTAGTTAGCCAAATGGCTGCCAATAAGCTCCAATGGTTTCAACACTGGGTTATGAGGGTCGAAGGTTAAGTCCCCATGTGGGAGAATTCCGTCAGCTCTGTTCCGAGGCCAGGCCACACGCTTAGCTCCAGGCAGCCACCCTGGAAACGTCTGCAACTGATCACAAATAGGGCGAGAGAGCAGGAACGGATTCACAAATTCCACCATCCACAGAAAAACAACTGGAGGCACACGGCCTAAGAGCCTGTACCCCTACACCTCTTACTTCCGATGCCGCTCTGTCGCTTTCATCTATTGAAAAACTATAAACAATGTGCGTTATCATCATACACACCTCAAAATGGTGATCAATCAGCTCAAAATATTCTTGAAGGGGCATAGATCCAGAAAAAGAACACGCAAAATCTTTGATTCCCTGTTTTTCAAAATATTCTTGAAGGCGGATAATAAGCTCGCTTGTTATGAGCCAGAGATCTTCAAATTGTTCACTCTGGATGCGGTATCGTTCTAAGACAGAAAACACAATTAAGACAAAATGTTTATTACTGGCTGAAACTACACGAATTGTCACGAACTCTGAAATGAATGCCAAAGCAAAAAGGACAACGCTTTCTTCTGTGGAGCATAGATCTGATTTCTATGGGCTTGATAAAAATATTTCTAGTGCTTTCTTGGGGTTTTCTGCCTTAACCACTTAACATTTTCAAATTTAATGCCAAGGTATGTGGTCACAGTGGCAAGCTGTAGTGCCATGGTCCTTGTTACTGTGTATCTGATACTAGGTTTCAGTACAATGAAAACACCCAAATGTGGGTTGTTCTAAGGAAAAGCTTTACTTAAAAGGTAAGAAAACAGCTATTGTAAAAAAAATACAACCTGGTATCATTGGTTTGTTTCAGAAAATAGATGTAAAATAAAATGTATCCTATAGAACATCCCAAATCCTGGACACTGTAAGCAACTTACATCCCTGTAATCATGATCAAAGTTTTCTATTTTCCTAGTAGTTCTTTTCTTTGAAGAGAGATTTTGCAATGACTCTTCCCTAAATATAAAGCTTGTTTCCCTCCATTCCCTGAAGCCTCAGCTCTGAGAGAGCCAAATTCCTGCCCATCTTCTACCTGGGTGACGATGATGATGACAACGATGATGGCAGTGGTGGCAATAACTACATCTACAACAAGAGCAACTGGTATTTGTTGAGCGCCAACAATGTACCAAGTACTGTGACGGCAACAACCTCTTTTTTATAAAAAGGCAAATCAGGGCCGGCTGAATGGCGCGTTGGTTAAGAGCTGGCTTGGGACGCCAGAGGGCCCCGGTTCGGATCCCACATATGAGGGCCAGTGACACTGCCCTCTACAGCTAAGATNGGCGAGAAACTTAGGTTGTCTAACTTTTTCACGCAGCCTTTTCAGCACTTCCAAATAGTAAACTTGGTTAACTGTTTGCCCAGTTGGTACAAATTCATAATGAATAATCCGTCTGGTATCAAAAGAGGTTAGCAACATCGTTGCAACAAGTTTGCAAGTTTAATTGTCAGACCTTATGCAACTCAGGTTGTTAGCATCACCAAAATTGTATGAGTAAATATTGCCATTATGTTTTAAGTGTTTTATTTATTTAATTATTACTAATTAGTTAACACTGTCTAATATTTATCTTTAAACAGCCAATAAGCTAAGATAAACCACCACATTTAGTCTGTGTCTAAAAGAAAAAATTATCAAAGTAGGAGATTCTTTTAGAGTGCCTGTCACGTCCCCTCATACTGCATAATTCAAAGATGAGTTCTTGAACCCTGCTCTCAAAGAGCTCCAAAACTACCTAAGGAACAAACTTAATGAAATCCAGATTATGATAAGTATTATAGTAGAGTCCTTCAGGACTTGAGGAAAACAAAATTCGTGACAATTAACACTAACCCTGGAAAATTCAAATTCTAAACAACGCAAAGAACAGGCCTAAGTACCAGTACTTAAGGCATTCTGATCAGAGATGGGGGTGGGGGCGCCTGTTGGGGCACACAGAAAGCAGACCCTTTAGAATGCAGTGACAAACACCTTTTTCTCCTTACTCCTTATTTTAGTAAAATAAGATAACAAATTATACAGGTAAATCACCAGTGAGTTACAGAAATAAATGTCAATGACACCTTTGATTTTTTTTTTCAAAAGTCACGGAGCTTCACTCTTTCTCATGACTCTGAAACAACTCATAATGAACGACAAATCTCCTTAAAGAGGAAACATCTACTAGACTGTCCATAGCCGGATCACAGAATGGAATCATCCTTAGAGAGGTTTCTATAGTTAAAATATCGGCCCATAAAAAAAGTTAATTCATGGCATACCACCAATTCAATTCATTGACCAAATTTCAGTCCTGAAATTCATTTTATTCTAAATTATCTTCTCACTTACCATCAGGATTTCGATCTATCCATCAGAGGAAATGCAAAAAGGGGTAGGGGAGAAAGAAAGCAACAAATTACCTGTGGCAAAATTACAACACAAACTTAATACATATCTGTTTAAAAAATATAAATTAAAATTTCCAAGATTCTCACTGATGATTTCATGGCTCTCCAATAAAAAAGAGTTAAGTCAATCCACTATTGAAGAGTAAAACATGAATAAATGAAATCGAACAAAATAGTCCCACTTCCATTCTCAGAAGTCCATGAGACTGTGTTATTCCAGTAAAAACGTGGCAAAAAGAGGTAGAGCAAACCAGACTCAGTATGTAAACAGTATCAAGAGCATTAAGTGAACTGTTGAACAAAAAGTTGAGTGAAAGGCCAAATACATAATAGTAATATTTCCAGTCAGTCTTACTTATATTATAATTTCAGTCAGTAGATACTATTGGGTTGTTGGAAAAGTCATGACATATTTTTCTGGTTTTCATTGCAAAAATGCGTCATGATTTTTCCAACAACCCAATACTATGGAGTAATGTTTTTTGGTCTTTTCTTTTGGCTTGTCTTGGTATATTTTTAGTTTTATAGACTTATTTTTACTGCAATTTCTAATTAACTTTCAACCGATTAATGTCTGTCCTCTTTGGGTTAGCAATAATTTATAATCTTTTACAATAAATTCTGTCTATAGAAAAGCATAACTGTTAAAAATGATACATGCAACAATAAGCTCACAAACTGATTTTACATTTTATAATGTGTCTGTAAGCTTTTGTCCATTTGCTATATAACCCATTTCTCTATTTTAAATTTTTTTTCAACCAGTGTCACTACTTTTCCGGGAAAACAAAAGAAATAACTAGTTGAATTAAGTCATCAACAGTCTCTACAACTACGTATTCAATGTATAACAAGGATAAAAAAGTATAATAATCCCTTTGATTATTGAGATGCTCATTTAATGATAAATAATCTAGAGATTTTAGCCAAATATTTCTTACTTTTATTTCACAATCCAAAATTAAAATAACATTGAAAATTTCAACATTCTTTTCAGAAACATCCCGCTGAAAATCCATCATTCCTTGATCCCTTATGGAAGTTTCATATTTCTTTCTGAAGCCAGCTTTCTCAAAACCACTTAAACATAAACTATTTATGTAACCCCTAATTTTGAAAATATAGTTAAATGGTTAAAATGGTTGTTCTGGCTAAAAATGGATTTTTTCAACAATTTAAAGTAAATAGCTTACAAAGCAGAAGAAATATATTTTGAAAATATGTATGAAAGTTATTAAATCATCTCAGAGCATAGTTGCTAATGTAGAAGCCAGAAAATTCACTTAGACAAAATAAAAACTACAGTTATTAAAAACATTGCTAAATAAGCAAAGTAGGCTTTCCCTTCTAGAGGGAAAAAACTAAGAAAACTATACAGAAATATTTAAAAAGCACAAACGCAACATTACTGAAATACCCTATTATCAGTTACATTACATTTAAACATTTTTTAAAATGCTGTAACTAATTATTCTTATTGTAACTGTCAAACTGTTACTATGAAAAATTCAATATACAGGAAAAAAAACTATAAAATTAGACCCAAATTTATAAATTGAATCTCAACTGGACTAAAGTTAGCCTTTTTTATCTAAAAAGAGTTTCTTGGAAAAAATACAGGTCAAATTTTAGTAGATCTGTTCCTAAATATTTTAACTTATAAGATGCCAAAAAGTTTTATTTAGTCACTAAAACAGTATCTAAAACTCTGAATACTGCCTTAAAGTTAGAGTAACCCATAATAGTCTTTTTCACTAATGCACACTAGGCTTTTCTTTTAGTTCAAATAGATGAAGTCTGCCTAGAAACCATTCTCCTAGCAGGAATAAAAATATATCCTATTTGCTATTAATTAAAAAGATAGAATCAAACATATGTGGAAATCAGCTAAATGGACTTATCACTAATTACTCACGACACATAAAAGTAATTTGGACATACAATTTTAGCTAACACTAGAAATTAATATTTTCTCATTTAATAATATTTTAAAATGTGTCTTCCCATCTTAACACTTGAACATTTAACTCATAACTCCAATAATATGAAAGGCGTGATGAGGCTTATAAGTTCCTGAAAAACTGTATGTTTACCTGTTGGTGTGGAATAGGAAACAACAGCATTTCCTTCCAATTCAGGTGGTGCATAACTTCCTCTCAGAAAAACAGAAAAGGCTACTGTTCTCGTCATCTCTGGTGCTATAAGCAACATAAAAGCAATACACGTTGCACAATTTGGACAATGATTATTAACAATGGCTAAAATTAGGCACACACTGCATGCCAGCTACTGTCCTAAGCACTTTATATGGATTAATCCACTTAATCCTCACAACAACCCTATAAGGTGGGTGCTATGATTGCCCCCAATTTTTTTTTTTTCCATGAGGAAACTGGCTACGGAGAGATTAAGGGACTTGCCCAAGGTCACATCGCTCATACAGAGCTGGGAGCGGACTCCAGAAAAATGGGCCTGGCATTCTACAACCTCTGCTTTTCTTTACTCAGATGAACAGGGAGCATGAGAAGAGAAAAAGGTACGCAAAGGGGCAAGAGGCTTTGGGAGTGGGGAACAGTGCTTCGTCATGCCTAGCACACAGACCGCAGGGGAAAAGCAAAGGGTGGGGGATTGCAGAGGGCTGTAACCAGAGCTGCAGAGACTCGCAGATTGTGCATAGCCTCCTATATCCACGTATTTGACCTCCAACACACATTCGAGAGCCATAAGAGGTTTTTAAGTGGAAGAAAACATTGTTCAAAATGCGTTTTAGAAAGACAAACTGGAAGTACTGTGAAAAAGAAAGAAAATAAAGTGAGAAACCAATGGCTGGATATCACCTGCAAGGTTATTTCAACAATCCGACCATTCTTTCGCTCATTCAACTATGTATTGAGTTCCCTCTATCTGCCAGGCACTCAGGGAAGGGTGGGTTATACAAAGGCAAATAAGAGAGAGAGATGTCTTGACTTCGTGAATAAGATATACAGCTGAACAGCAGCAGTAAACAAAGAAAGGAAAAGACTCGAAAGATAATTCAGAAATCATTTTAACAGGGTTAATGACAATTTAGAGGTACATGGTATGGGAGAAAAGATTCTATACAACGCATTCTTACTAAGAATTGCCATTTATGACCTGCCTACTATTTTAGGCATTATTACAGGTATCTTACATAGATTCATTCTTTCATTAAAACCTCAAAACAGCCTCACAAGAAAGATATCATTATCCCCTTTCTACAGATTAAAAAAACTGAGGCTCCAAGTAATTACTGCAGTAGCTTGCCCAAGGTTACACATAGAGGAGTGTCAGGGCCAGCACTCAAACTCAGGCCAGACTCCAAAGTCAATATTCTTTCTTCAAACATTACCGATTCAATAAATAGCTCACTAGAGAAACACCAATAAAGAAAGCCTTCCAAATTATAGTGTTTAAGTACAATTACAGGTCCATCTAGTTAAGGAAAGCACTTGGAAATCTGTAATTACTTCAGCTTCAACAACCATTCATTGAATGTCCATGCTTGATGCTTAGACGGAAAACCGTATAAGCAAAACAACACAAGCATTGATTTCGGGAAGATACCAGCCTCACGATTCAGACAAGAAACACAGCCTTGAAATAAATACACTAATTTTAAAAAATTAATTAAATACAAATCCTCACACCATGATAGACTTTAAGCCAAGCAAAACACTTACCCATAAATTCAAAGGTGAATTGATCAGAAGTCAATACTAAAGGTGGTTGCACATAAACTGATAACTTGGCTTTTTGCAATGCCACTCGATTCTGCAGTGTGACCTACGGAGACAGAAATTGTTATTAAAAGGAAACTATATTTTATCAAAACTGATAAAATATCACAATTACTTGAAAAATATCTAGCAAATAATTAGGGAACATCATCTGAGAAAAAAAATGAGTAGCCATAAAACATAACATGTAACGTAAGTACTAGATTAAAATGTCCTACCCAATTAGAGACTGGGCAAAGGAGATGCAAAGATTTTTCTCCAAAGAAGATATAGGAATGGGCAAAAGGCACATAAAAAAATGTCCAATATCTTTAATCACTACAAATTACATCCACAATAAGAAACTACTACACATCCACTAAAAATACCATAATCAAAAGGACAAAAATTGGTGTTGGCAAGAATGCGGAGGAACTAGAACACTCATATATGGCTGATGGGATTGTAAAATGGTACAGCTACTCAAAAAAAGAAACAGTTTGACAGTATCTTTAAATATTAAACATAAATTTACCGTACAATCTCACAATTTTATGGTAAGAAAAATAAAAATATATGTTCACCCAAAAACTTGTAGGTAAATGTTCAAACTAGTATTAGTCATAATAGCTGAAAGTAGAAACAACTCAAATGTCCATCAGCTGATGAATGGATGAACAAAATGCAGTGTATCCATACAACGAAATACTATTCAGTAATAAAAAGAAACATAGTACTGACACATGCTACAACATGGGTAAACCTCAGAAACATTATGCTAAGTAAAAGAAGCTCGTCACAGAGAACCACATATTGTATTATTCCATCTATACGAATTGTTCAGAATACGCAAATCTATAAAGACAGAAAATAGATTTATAGTTGCTGAGGGATGGCAGTGGGGGGTTTGGGGTGAGGAATGGAAGAAAGGAAGCAAATAGGAAGTGACAGCTAATGGGCATGAGTTGTTTTCAGGGGGATGAAAATGTTCTAAAATTAAATTTTGGTGATAATTCCACAACTCTGCAAATATACTATAATATTATATTGAATATTGAATAATATAATATTCAATAATATTAAAATTATTGAATTATATACTTTAAATGAGTAAATTGGATGGCATGTGAATTATATCTCAATAAAGCTATTAAAAATGTTCTATCCTTATTGGGGTGGTCACTTCATAACATATAAATGTCTAATCACTACGTGTATACCTGAAACTAATGTAATGCTATATGTCAACTGTAATTTTTTAATTTTAATTAATGTTTTAATTTTTAAATTTAAAACCTTTCTATCAAAAGCAAAGAAAAAGGGCCGGCCGAGTGGCATGATGGTTAAGAACTGGCTTGGGACGCCAGAGTGCCCCGATTTGGATCCCACATATGAGGGCCAGTGACACTGCCCTCTACAGCTAAGATGCTGAACAACAGCTCAACCTGGAGCTGGGCTGCCATGAGTCGCACGCGAAGGCATAGGCTGCAGTCCCTGTGGCAGTGGGTTGCCATGGGTACTGTGTGTAGCCAGCAGCCAGCGTGAGCGGCCAGCAGCCGCAGTGAGCGGCCGTCCAGAAGCCGGCGACTGATCTGCCTCCCCGGGGAAGAGCGCAATGATGGTGCCAGCTTGGGCCAGTGAAGCAACGTCCTCCACAACTAGACTGAAGAACAAAATGACAGCAACTTGTCTGTTCCCATTCCCCCCAATTCCCCAATAAAAAAAGCTTTAAAAAAAAAAAAAGCAAAGAAAAAAATCTGCCCTCAATGGCTGATAATTGCATCATAAAATATTATATATGTTCATTCTTCTTTTCATGTACAGATGTGGCATCATGAATATTTATCGTATCCAGAGTCAGGATATTACCTTTGCACAAGTTAATTATCCTCTAACCATTTCCTTCTTAGGTGAGTATTTACTAATCTAGGCATATATCACAGCACTACATTTTCTTCCATGGCTTAACACAAAAACATCTTACATAACTAATTCTAGGAGATAGCAAAGAATGACAATATTCACTGCTGCATTTTTACACTGGTGCTCTTGCTCGATGCTGCTCAGAAAACCTTCCCACTGCAATTAGAATCAACAGCTCCGAGCTCTGGGCACCAGTCTGCTGGGAAGCAGGGCGGGGATGGGCAGAGAAGGCCAGGACCCCTCTTCCTCCTCCTGTGGAGGAGCGTCCGTAGAAGCCACCAGGCCCGATGACCTTTACTGGGCCAGTGGGAAGGGGTATCATTTTCAGGCTACCAAAGAAAAGGCTTAACAGTCTGGCTTCCATGGGGCACGTTCTCTCTTTGGATTTTGTCTCCTAACAGTCCCAGCCTCTTTGCATAGTCTCCTGGGGATGAGTTCATCCACATGGCCGGTGTGGTAAGCCAGACTGATCACAGTAGACCTGGGTATTGGTGACTTTTCACAGCTCTCCGGGTGATACCTACGTATAACCAGAGTTGAGAAGCACTCTTCTATCTGGTACCTCTGCTAGGAAGCAGTTCAGTCTACTTACCAGGCTCTAGTATATGAGACAGGTACATTTCATTATTAACTGACATAATGCAAGGGCATACTTACTTTTAAGAAAAGTAGTTCTGCATTTTCTCCTAAGTAAAAGACATATATCACCTACTCCTTAATGATATATATATATATATATATATACATACATACATACTACTATAGAGAAAGAAACAACACACAGTGATATTCAACTGGCCCACGAACATTATATGCATATAATTAGATTCAGTAAATGTATTAATTTTAAATGAAGTGGGTATTCTGTATAACTTAAAGATAAGTTAAACATAAAAAATTTGACTTGTAAAATTTTTAAAAGATAACTATTGATGCAAATAAATACAATAAACACAGCAAATGAACAATTAATCCTCAATTTTTACTTTATAAGCCCTGGGACTACATGAGGGGACTCTGCATGCCACCAACAAAGCTTCCTTACTGATGTCCGACTATTATAAACAACATAATGCCTTGTTAGTAAAACCCTGACGGGTAATTATGGGAAGAAGAAACTGTGTATGCACCACAGACACCATCTTTCAAATAGCTAGTCCGCTACATAAACAGAACACAATTTAAATATTTTCCTATTCATAATAAAATGATGCTAGCCTGTCCATGTGTTTTAAAATTAAATGACTACTCTTAATGATAATAATCATTAGCAAGTTTCTATATTCATAGAAACATGCTAATAAATTATTTATGTGCATTATCTCATTTAATATTTACAACATGGTGAAACAGCTACTATCACTGTATACCGTTTTCTAGAAAAGAAAACTGTGGCTCAGAGAAGCTAAATAATTTGTCCAGGGTCATTCTGTTTATAAGTGGAGGAACCACAATTTAACTTCTGCCTGTCAGAATCTAAAGCCCATGCTCTTAATCAACTGTGGTTAAGTCTCAAAACAGCTCTGCAAATGAAAAAAGTATCCCCATTTTACAGTTTAAAAACAGAGGTTCAGAGAAGCTAAATAAGTGGCCAAGACCATCGAGCCAGTATGTTCAAGAGAGTTGAAAACTTCGTTTTAAAAGTGAACATGAAAAATCCTTCAAGTAGTAATTAGCTGTTTGTGAGAGAGCAGACTTTCTGACTCTGCCTAGCATAACAGCATGTATTTAGACAAAGATCGCACAATTTTACATTGTCAGAAGAAGGGTTTGCACTTGGTTTAGATGCACGATCACAGCTCCCCTATGCGGATTTACTGAACCCCAAGAATGGGCAAGGCGCTTTCAAAAGTGAATCAAGGAGATGTGTGACGAAAATAACTACAGTAACAAAGAAGAGTTGTGTTTGAGCCAAAAAAAGAGTTAAAGACTTGGCTAGATTATAAACCTCATATTTTAGGAGAAAAATAATTATAGAATATTAAGGGGGAAATATAAAACATTAATACAAAAATTTTCCGTGCTATTTTCCACTTTGAACAAAATGAAATATGATCCTTAGGAAATCTAATACTAAGTTTTTATTCTCAATAGATAAATATGACTCCAAAGGCCAGGTATGAAACAACCACTCTCCCCGAGTTGCCTGGAACAGATGGTCACGCGTCGTGCGCACATACTCAAGGTAGCCACATCTTCATTCACTTGGAACGGATGGAAAAATTTTCTCAATTAACAGGATTTATTATGATGGAAACTCGCATGGTTATATATCTTGGCTGCTGTTTTTATAAAAAGGCTCTATGGAGAGATTTATAGCAGAAATTTGTATAGAAACCGTCTGACAGGATCAGGAAGTCATTGTTGTCTGCTGGGTAAGTCCAGCTGATTTTGTGCAAACTTTGTGGTTGCATCTTTCTCGTGGTCTTATAATGGCAATAAGGAAGAGAGTTGTGAATGAGCCATTCTCAAATATAGCAGCTTCCACTAATGAAGGAGAATTTTCCAGTAGTGTCATGCCATCGTGTTGAGGTGGTTACTACACATGACAGCCTAAGAACTGCACGGGAGAGAAAGATGTGTTTACTTACAGCAATGAGGAGTCATTGGAGGGAAATTAGCATGAACTAACGTTATCTGGTTTAGGTACCAGACTTCTTTTTGCAACTTACAGTGTGCTCCTGAATTATTATGTGTATGTGTCTGAACAATATCAGTAGATAGATATAAAAAAAAGGTTTCTCCACACAAATGTCTATAGATCATTCCTGGAACTCTGAAGGGTTTTTTGTTTTTTTTTTCCCTTAAGTGTTTGATTTCTTGCCACTAATGCTTTTCCAGACTCAGAAGTATTAATGAGATAGAGCCTTTGATTGGATGGGGGGGGGGGAGACTGGGGAAAGACCACCCTTGTTTCCAGTGGCAAGAATCCAAAAAAATTAGCTTAGGAAACTGTTAAAAGATTGGGCTCCCTTCAACTTCTACCAAAGATCCCCACAGTTGGGCCACCCGCTGGGTCCAGTGTAAGCGAACACAATTGGTAAAGCCTGGTACCCTGTTAAGCTCCTCCAAGGACAGCATCCCATAATCTAAGAAAATACAAAGCCGTGTCCAAGTTTTGACGAAGTGACTCGCCAAGATCCACAACCTTCCCTGGCTCCGAGGTCTGGGCAGTGATAAATATTCTCAGCTTAATAATGTGCTGACCGATTACCACACTTTAATCCAAATGCCTTAAGAGGGTTCCACATTTGAGTTCTTGTTCTGAAATTCTACAATGATGGGACCAACAGTCTTACCAAAAACCACATCCTTCATATTCTATTTTTTTAGGACTATCGATTTGTCACTATGCTACTTTGTGGCTTCTTCATTTAATATTTTCTTGCTATAAATACATCCATTTAAAGCTAATGTTATGGCAGGTAGATGACTGGTAATTCTCTTCAAACACACATATAATCATACATGGCAGAAAGATATTAGTAGCATTCCTATAATTCATATATATATATATATATGTATATATATATATATATATATATATATTATATAGTGCTTCAATCAACTGGTTGGTCTATTATGACATTGGTTGGTCTAGGATGATAACACAATTCTTTAAACATATTTAAAATGTTAATTTTATTTCTGGAAAAAAGAGCCTGAATTATGCAACACATCTAAATAATGGTAGAAGTAAGTCATAACAATTGTTTATATTATATACCTATTGCTATAAATGCCATTAACGGCTTTATATTTGTAGAAAACAATGAAGGTAGGTTATCTACTCACCAACCAAAACTGAAGAAATTGTACAAATTTCAAGTGTTTGTTTGACATTTCCAAAAGCTATTTATAGGGTGACAACAGTGACAAACGTGATGCAACGTGTAATATTGTTTGCACATTACAGTCTAGAACCAGGGCACAATACCTTAACTGTGACTGAAGGGACGAGGTCAGTTCCCACTTCAACATCAGGAGCTTGCTGGAAACACACAGTAGAAACAGAAGAAATGGTTTCAATATTACACATCAATGAGTGAACACAACGGGTGCAATACATACTTCTCACCACCGAAACAGGGAACTCACTACACAAGATTTATCACTCGAATGACACAATAAAAGAGTCAATGTGGCCTCTTGGATGCCTTCATCTGGAAAGGCAGGAACTAATATTCAAAAACCCATTCCCCTCACCCCAAAAAAACAATAAAAGATCGTTTTATTATCAGAATACTCTATTGTCAAATGTACTTAAATGTTGAAACTAATTAATTCTGTTAACTCATATTATATAGAAGAGGGCCTCCTTGTATTTATCAGATAAACATTATGCCATTTTTTTAGGCCCTTGTATTTTTAACCTGCCAAAGGTATGTGTTTTATTCTGATTAATAATAAGAATATGTATCTAAGACATGCAACTAATGATATAAAGATTGAGCAGCTTTACACCTAGAAAACAAAATAAAAGTAGAGTGCAATTTTTCTTCTCACTAGCTCACATCATAAGCTAGTTTGCTCTTTAGACATCAGCCTGGGTTTCCTGGCTCTACCTCTTCAAGAATTCAGAGTATAATGTAATAGAGCAAACATTTCCTTATCATTTATAACTTATTTTTTAGAGTGGTAAATTGAGAGGAAAAAATGCTTACTCTATGACAGAGTAAGACCACGGGGTAACGTATTTTCTAACAATAGCCTTATGAATTCCTAGGGTACAATTAAGATCCTAAAATCTCTATCCAACCAATGAATACATCCATTGTACTTCAAATTAACCTATTTGAAAAATTTTTACTAAGAAAAATTAAGCCACTTCTAAGCAATGGGGAGTGCAATGATGTAATGGACATCAGCACAATTAAGAATTGGGAGATTCGTATGTTATTTACGACTCCATAGGAAACCATATATGATTCAACTTCTCAATGAAGAAGATAGGATAGCAATGCCTGTCTCCTCTATAAAAGACCCCATTGTAGTATAAATTATGTTTTTAGATGTGTGCTTTCATGTTAATGATTCGAAAGAAAATATTAAGCCAGGCTTTTTGCTCTAGTATTACCTAAACTCCAAGAAATGTTTTACATTTAGCTGTCCGCAGGTCTAGAAAAGAAATCAACATCTCCTGTTTTCCGCTCTTTTCAACCCTTTGTCTAAACACCTGGCTACTTCAAGGACAGTAGTCCTTTGGGAAATAAACTTATAGCCAGAAAGAAATGGCTATACAAGGACACCATGGCACTGCAGCCACATAAATCACGGGGCTAATGTTTTCCAATGGAATGAACACGATACTCTCAAGAACCTCTTAAGAAGGAAAAAATAGTAAGTCAGGGAAAATGAAGCTGGAAAGAGACACCTAATTGAGAGGAAACAGCACTCCGGGTTGCCAATGGGGAAATATATATTACAATATAGTGCTATTACATAAGGCCTTTTCCCTACCAAGATCAAAAGTTGCTCAAGAACAGAAAGGGAATTCCTCATTCCAAATGGCTTATGTTTAAGAAAACCTAGAAAAAAATCATATAAATTGCCCAAAGGAAAAAAAGAATCATTCCCAAGGCAAGAAAATGTGTGTACATTTGTCAGCTAGCTAAGCAGAAATGTTCTCCTCAGACCACGCCCTGCAGGTAGAGTGAGAAATGGTGTGTGCTGAACGGCCAATGTTCCAAACAGTGCTTCTACTATGTGGCTCGGCTGGGTGAATGTTTCTTTCATATGTAGTCCTATTTTTTTAAGTGTACCCAACGTACTATATACTATGGCAATGTTAACATGATTTTTTATCACGACTTGGGTTGGCTGCTTATACTAAGATTAATCTTTGAAAACTTACGACAACTGCTGACTGTATTATGCTCTGATACCTAGATATTTAAGTCATTTTTTAGGCAAAATTATATGACCGGAACTCCAAATACAGTAAAACCAGTGAATTCGATCACTTGTCTAAATGGATCGAGTTTTGGTATGGACACAGACATACTTAATAGATTTTGTGCACACAGCAGGCAGTGAGACCTAATCAATCATAACCTAGCAAGTGCTTAAAGAAGACTAAACAAGGAGATGTGGTAATATAACCAACGACAGTCCCCCTTTTTTCCTTCTTCTTTCTCAGCTTTATTCATTTATTCATAGAGTAAATATGTATCAAGCACACATATGTGACAGATACTAGAGATACAGCAGTGGACAAGACAAGTAGTGAAATGTAGGAGGTGGTGGTGGTGGTGCAATATCATCACAATTCAACAAAGTCGATTCTACTATTATTCCCATTTCACAGATGAGAAAATTAAGACTAAAAAAATTTAAATACCTTGCCCTGGGTCACACAGATGGAAATGGGGGAAAAATAATTCCCTGCCCAACTGCTTACTCTTAAACTACCCCCATCCATCAAAACCACCATAATGTATTAAAGACTGTAAACCATCAAACCCTAACCTAGGCCCTTCGTAAACAGCATCTCATTGAACCGTCACCAAAAATTTTGTGGGGCCGGTATTATTCATCTAGATTAGGATTATTTCAACACTCTGGTATTGAAAAGGTTAAAATTATTTTTAAGATGGTAGATTCAGAATAATGGTGAGAACCCTTTCTATTGTTCCCTCCCTTCCCTTTTTGTAAACAGAAATCTGCCTAAGGAACTCCTTACTACACTAAGAGGCTGGAGATGTTTTATTTCTAGAAAGTAATAAAGGTTAAAAGTAGTTATCCTCCTGGAGTGGCTGGGTGGCTCAGCTGGTTAGAGCGCATACTCTGAGCGACAAGGTTGCTGGTTCAATTCCACATGGGCCAGTGAGCTGCACCCTCCACAACTATTGGGTTGTCAGAAAACTCATGACGTATTTTTTGTTTTACATTGCAAAAATGTGTCATGACTTTTCCGACGACCCAATAGATGGAGGACAACAACTGGAGCTGAGCTGCACCTGAGCTGCTGGTGGGCAGCCGGATGGCTCAGTTGGTTAGAGTGCGTGTTCTTAACAAAAAGGTTGCCGATTCAACTCCCACATGGGATGGTGGGCTGCGCCCCCCGCAACTAGACTGAAAATGGCGACTGGACTTGGAGCTGAGCTGTGCCCTCCACAACCAAGATGGAAGGACAACAACTTGACTTGGGATGTGGAAAAAACACATTGCTCCCCGAAAAAACACATTGTTCCCCAATAAAGTTTTTTTTTTTAAAGTAGTTATTCTCTCAAAAGTTGCTATTTGGAGGCCCAGAGTTTAAACCAACACATTTTAACCCCAATTCACCAGAGTCCACCACCATCATAAACCCTTTTAAAGTCTGCAAAATACACTTACAGACACGGAATCAAAGTTAGGAGAAACCATGGCAGAAACTCTCATGTCATCTTCTCTCTCAGTCATGGGCCAAACACCTGTGATTTTAAAAGAAAAAAAAAAAAAGCTATTTAATTATAAAGTAAACCCTGCTCTCTATAGTTTTTTAAAATTTATCTATACCATCTATCAGGAAACAACCCCATAAACATACTCACAAGATGAAAAAACTAATGCATTACAGAATTAGAAGCTTGATATTAATCCTTCCCCTTGCACAATATTTTAAAGAAAATCTATTGCTTTCTCCAAAGATGATATAGCTAAGATGTGACCCACTGACCAACCAGTGATGGGAATTTCAAGTCGTCTCCTTAACTACTTACTAGTAGAAGCCCTAATTAATACAACCCTTTTGAAGCTAAGTTGGTTTGAAATTAATGACTTTTGAAGGCAAGTAATTCTACTGCTTGGGGGTAGAATTGTTAGGTCACAGGATACATACAGTTTACATTTTGATAGTTATAGCCAACACACAGACATGTCCAAGAAGGTTCTCTGCTGCTGGTAGTTATTAAAAATAAAAACAAAGGGCAGGCCGAGTGGCTCAGTTGGTTAAGAGCTCACTCAAGAGTGTGAGCTCTGAGCAACAGCAGTTCGATTCCTGGCCTGAGCTGAGCTGCCGCTGAGCCGCCAACAGGTGGCAGGATGGCTCAGCTAAAAGAAATAATAATAATTAAATTAAATTAAAATAAAATAAAAACAAAACAACCTAAATCTCCATATATCTATTAACAGGAAAATGATTAACTAAATTATGGTATATCCATGCTGTGCTATGACTCAAAGCCCAGAGCTGTAAATAAGAGTGCTGTCCATCTTTATAGACCGATATGAAAATAACTCCATGATATTCCCATTAATAAAAAAGCAAGGTAGGGCCGGCCGAGTGGCTCAGCTGGTTAAGAGCTCGCGCAAGAGTGCAAGCTCTGAGCAACAGCGGTTCGATGCCCGGCCCAAGCTGAGTTGCCGCTGAGCTGCCAACAGGTGGCAGGATGGCTCAGCTAAAAAAATAAATAAATAAAAAATAAAAAAGCAAGTCATAGTACAGTGTGTCTCATATGCAAACCGTTGCATAAAAACAATTACATATACCTAAAAATTTTCTTCAAATATACACAAAAACTCTTGCTAAACATTAAATAAACATTAAACCTTTAAATAATCTAGTGGAAGGAGGAGCCGGGGTTTACCCTTTTAGTGCCATTTGAATTATTTTTACCATATTCATGTTATTTTCACAACTTCAATTTCACAATCTAAAAATGTTTATAGTGCATAATGAGATATTATAAGTTACAGAGATCCTAAATAAGAAACATAAATGACACTTATGCCATATACATGTATACATGACAGACTATTGGCCGCCACCTAGTATCCATCTTCCCTCCTCCTTTTCAGGGGGGCAGAGCCCTAATTCTGTTGAGGCATTCACCTTCATCTCAAAGTCATTGGCTTGGTCAACTCCAGTGACGGTGATTTCATTCCCCTGACCATTCGTTGTTTTGGGCATGAGCATGAGGCTTTATCCTGGCAGATGTGAGGTAAGAAGAGTTGGGTGTGAGGGGTGCCGGCACATGTTTCTGGGAAAGCTATTCCTCCCTAATAAAAGGGGGGACTCGGGAGAAAGCACTCTCTTCTTCCCTGGAAATTGTATTTGCACATAATTTCTGGAACTGCTGAAATCACCCTGTGACCATCCCACACACACTGAGGACTGCCCACTGAAAATATGGAAAGCCCTTGGATGATGCCACCTGAATCAGCTGACTCCCAACGAGAAGAACTGCCTGCAATGGCCCTCAGGCATTCCCACCAACACTGCACCACTTGGAGCAGGAATTTCCATAACTTAGTGCGAGTACCAAAGGCTGCTCATTGCCCACCAATAACCGTTCTTCAGCTCCTCCTTACTGAAAACGCCCAGTTTTATTCTAAGCAACAAAATGCTCAGCTAAAACACTGAATTTCCCGGTCTCTTCCACAGCTTGGAGTGGCCAGCGGGATGTGGGTAGAAGCTGCTCAGGGGTGTGGCTTCCTGGAAAGATCTGTAAGGAGCTGACTCAGCTGCAGATGTGATGGTAGGAGTTCCAGAAGTCATCCTGGACCAAGAGATGACCCTGGGAGCAAAGGAAGTGGAGTCCCTGATGACAGGGGAACAGCCAAACCAACCCTGGTCTGCCCATTGCAGACTTACTGTCCATAGGAAAGAAATAAACCTCGGCCATGTTTAAGCCACCTTATTTGGGTATTCCGTTACATGCAGCCAGACATAACCCTAAACAGCACAGCTTCCAACAAGGTCACCAAGTACAGATGTCTCTAGTACCCAAAGGTAGCGGTGCCTTAGTTATCCCACCCATTTGAAATAGGATGCCGGCTTTCACTTAGTCCCCACGCCTTACTGCTCCCCTTCCCATCCTGAAGGCACAACTGTGGGGCTCTAACTCGGGGTCACACCCATTCCTTCACAGTCACCTCAAGCGGAGAACATGACCAACTGTCTAAATCATAAGGACACTCCATCTTTGGGAAGTGCCTACCGACAGATGGTGTTGACTACTGGTCACAGGAACGCTGGCCAGGGTTCCCACTAATGAGTTGAATGAGAAAAGCTTCAAAATCCATGAGCCATACAGAAATTATGACTATAATTTCATGCTTACAACATACATTCCTCATATAACTTACACACATAAAATCAGGTTCAAAAACGCTTTTATTACAGTAGATAATATACACCATGTGTACAACAGAATGTACTCTTTAAATTGGCTTTAAATTTTGCTGCGACTCTTGCTTTGAAGAAATAAAAAAAAAAAATTTAAAAAAAGCTTTAAGTACCGAACATAACCCACAAGGCTGTGAAGTTTTTTTGCAAGTTAAAGTCACTCTACTAAAATAAGTGGCATTTAAATTAATAATGAGGTCATCAAAAGGTTCAGAGTTTTAACTTCTCATAATCCTTCTATACTGAAATGATTTGGTGCTTTTATATAATTACAGGTATTTTAATAAAGAAATATACTACAGTTTTACAAGGGTACAGAATACTGATTTTTTTTTTCCATATCTAGAAGTAAAACATTTTAAAAGTCTCTCTTTTTGAAAAGTTTCTCTTTGTTTCTCTTTCAGGAATACAACCAAATAGTGGTGGCATAGAAAGCACAGGGAACTTCAAATATTAACTAAAATTTAAGGTTATGTAAATAATGAACTTTGCACCCAAGTCTGTGGGCACATCCCTAACTTAATTAGCAGTTATTTCAAATTACACAGAAGGATCCAGGTAATGACAAGTAAAACAACCTAACCCTTCTCACCCAAGGGCATCACTACAGCCACCAAAAAATAACTTTTAGCTATAAGGAATTTTTCTGAGAAATGTTTTACATAATTAAGTGTTAATCAAAATATCATTAGCACATTGTTTATGGAAAGAGCAAAACCTCATGACACAAGATTTGGAGTGAAAAATCACATTAAATTTATTTAACGAACTCTGGAAATTTCATGCTTCATATATATATGCCACTCTGCTCCAATTACGTTTTTAAACGACAAAATGAGACTTATAATTCCATTAATCCCAAAACACTAGTATCAAAAATGGAAAAAAAACTGCATGTCGCAATATGACACATCTAATTTTAATCATTTTCTATTTGACAGAGGGGTGGTGACAACAAATAGGCTTTTAATTAGCTGGAGGTACTTAAAGACCTAAGTTTCACTGGTTTAATTTCAAAACGTTCTAAGAGAATGTGTGAAGCCAAAACATAATTTTATTTTCATATTCATATTTTTTAAATATATTATCTAAATTCCTCTGAATCCATCTTGGTAATATAGACTCGAAAATACATAAATCTCATAAAGTGATTGGACCAGGATTAAGATAGGTTCTGTTGTGTGGGTTCTTTTTGATGCTCTGCTCGGTTTATTACTCTTACTTTGTTTTAACATTCCTTTTATGTGAAAAGAGTCCATATTTTTTCTCATTAAAAAAATACTTTTACCTGACCCTGAAAAGGGAACCTAAAGTAATGCTTTTCACATGTCCAACTCAAACTGCAGGGCTGGTGTTTTGTTTCTCCTTTTAATTTACAATAAAATTACACCCCTGTGAATCCCAAAGTAAGATAATATTGAGTTATGCAAAACTCAGGAACTGAAAATATCATCAGCCTCTGAGTCATTAGAAGTCAGCGTACTGCAGGCTACACTCCATTTGGATGGCTAATTGACTACAAACAAATTATATTGCTAAGCTGCAAATGACTACAAAGTGGTAACTCATGTACTGGCTTTTGGTTTCTTCTAAAAGAAGCAACTAAAATGTTTCGAAGCTATTAGAAGTTAATAAATGACCACTCTAAACTTTACCCCTCTTCTCAAGGCCTGAAACCACTACCCGAAGAAATACTTGTTCCTGTTTTAGAGCTTAAACAGAAAAAAACTAGATAGCACTGTCCCTAAAAAGGGGACACTAACAAAAGCATTCTCTTAAATAGGACATATTTTTCGGGGGCTACAAAATACAAATTAAGCACAAAGAGCTTGTGTGCTAAAAAGCACTGCAGTTTTTACAAATATGATTTTAATTAAGCCTAGGGGAGAAAATTAACTAATATGGACAAAACATCATCCATATACAAAATAATATGAATTTTATAATGAATACTAAAATCAAATAATAAAAAGCTTCAAATGAGATACCTTGTGATTTGTTCACATCTTTGATGATTTTCTGGAGTTCTTTCAATTCTACATCAAGTTCATCATAGTTTAATTCTCTAGATTCAACTTTTGGAGCTTGGAACAAAGAAGGGTCTGTCCCCAGGTATGAACACTGCAAGTGACCATCATCACTCAGCGTGATTATCACTCCCTTTAAATCACTGTAATAAAGAAAAGAAAATGAGACATGATTAAAATTTGGGGTGGATTTTGACTGGACCGACTACATTTTTATTCAATTCAGCTTCAACATACCATTAAAAAAACGACTATGTATCTATTTTTAAAGTTTTATATCAAGAATTCAAATGTTTCAAACATGATTTATGTTGACAGAAGTATTCCCAATGTTACGATTCATTACAGGATAATAAAAAAAAAAACACTTTAACAATTGTTGTAATAGCTGCTACTTTCTGGGATAACTACATGGCAAGTCCTATTTTGAGGGCTTTTCAAGGCCTGTATCTTCTCATCCTTGGCAGATTCATAATAAGCACGTGAACAACATTTGTGGAGCCACAAGCGCGGGGCTGCTGGCTGATGGAAGGCCAGGCTTGAGGCACAGGAGCGAAGCCGGGACAATCCAAGGGAAGGGCAAAGAGGTCAGTGGACTAACCCGGGGGGCCTGGGAAAGAACTGTGCCCCCTCCCCTTTTCCTTCTCTCTGCCCTTGGGACTTACTGTATTTGCCCTCTTTCCCAGGTCCACCCACCATGGCTTCCTTCATACACACTCCTGTGAAATAGCTCTGCGCTGTTCGCCCTTTCCCGCCACTCAGATAGAAGGAGCCGATTCTCTCATTTAGTAGTAGAGCTTTCTCCACCACTCATCCCATCCTGATTATCTCTTTTCCTGCCCATCCTTTCACTCTTCCTTCTCTCTTAGGCTCCCTTATCTCTCTTCTACTCTAGAAACTAGCCATAATATATAAATTATAATTTTAGCACGCCGTTTTTAAAAATAAAAGTTGTAAGCGTTTCTTAACTTGCTATGAAAAGTAGTTGAAATGAACACTATTTGCTTCCTCCCTAGTTTGCTCAGCAGGAAAAAAGTTCAACATTGTCACAAGTCATTTTGAGCTGCTACATAATGAATTTGTTTCATTTTTGTGTGTTATGTTTTCTAGTGGCCTTTGATTTTAAAAAAGGAAAGAAAAATGGTTACCAACCCTGTTCTAAAGGTTAAATATTAACCAAAAATAACAGAAAATTTGAGAAAAAAAAATTGCCATTCATCTGAAGTAAAGGATAAGGTGTATCAGGGTCTAGGCCTGATTCAGAATGAATAAGAATTTTTAAAACTCCCCAACTTGGGTCATGGCAAATGGTCAGCTCATTAATCTAAAAGCTCAACTTGATAGACAGTAGATCCTTCCCATAAATAAGGCAGCCACCAGCATCCACCACCACCTGCCTTCAGAACATCACTATACTCATGTTCTCCAGAGCTTAAGCACAGTTGGTGGCACATAACCCTATCGGGTGACTTCAGAGAAATAAAACATAGAATGATGTCACTTTTTCAACAGCTAGGAGTTGGATTAATGAGGGACTTCGGCTCTGGCTCTGACTCTGCCACTATATAGTTAGAGCAGTCTTCTTAAACGTTCTTCTATTTCTACAATGGAAAGGCAAGACTAGATGGTCCTCAAACATCTTTAAGTTTTAAGAACTGGTTCTGTCAATCTAGCTCAGAAAATAAATACTCCCCAAATGAAATTATTTTCCTAAAATAGTGTCAAAGCGACACCATCGTACCTCTGAGCTTGACCCTTTTCACTGCGGGCAACTGAAGCCACCTAGTGGTCATGGAAATCCTAGCTTTCAGCTCTGACAGCCCATTTCAAGAGGAAAAGCCCTCGGTCCCCTCTGAGTTGTCACTGTCCTCTGTTTCCCATTCCACCCCGCCCCACTAAGATCTGGGAAGCCCAGGAAGCCTCAGGAAACTCTAGGACACTAACGGGCAGATCTTCCCCTGGCTTCGCAGAGAGTGTGGGGATCATCGGTTCTTTGAATCCAGAAGGGTATTTCCACTACATCTGCGTGATCTAATAGAGGAAACCTAGCATGGCCCAATACAAGTATCCCTCACGATCCAAATGTATCTGGTCTTTGAGTTGGATAGCTTATTATTTAATCAGTTTTGTTCTAACCTTTTAGAAAGCAAACAGCAACAATTTAAACACAAGAGAGTTATCTGAGCCTATTAAGTTTCTGAGTTCAGATAGGGATAGTTTGAATAGTAGCGCATACGTGTGTTCCTTCATAGTCACACACAAAAAAATTCTTTACTGGTGCTCGAGGTGTCCAAATGGAAAGGCAGGGGCCAGAGTCCTCTCTCATTGAAAGAACTTATCAAATGTCACCAGAATACCATGACAACAAGTTACAAAGCTTAAGCAACTTACTTTTTTCTCATCAATGGCATCAGAACCATTGTAGATCATTTAAATCAAACAACAGAAATTTAGATGACAGATGACTTCATTGAACACTGCATGTTTTATTCCACGGTAACACTAAGACAAGCTCTAAAACACCAATGATGGGACAGGCACTTTGACTCAGGCCTATGGTATTACTTAATAAGTAATGTCATCGCTTGTAATCTCGTGCAAAGGACAAATTTTAAAATATATAAATCTTGTTCCTGAAGTTCAGCCCAATTTAATATAAAGAGAAAAGGAAAAAAACATAATCCAGATTAAAGTCTTTCTACTTAAAGAACATTTTATTTCACAATATTGTGCATATGAGTGAATGTGGTAGGTTCTGTGAATGATAGAATTTTATGCTGGAAGAAGCCTCCAAGTAAATCAAGTATTATGCACCGTACTAGTTACATCTTTCGAGTTAACATTGCCAAAATTAAGGTCTCTGAATCATTACTGGTCGTTGAAGCATACCAGCCAGCCCAAGCCATCAGTATTTTATGAAGAATCAAAGTCAAAGAGGTTATATGCAGAGGACACATAATAATTCTGTGATTCTTAGCAATGGGGCACGAAATGAAATTGATAGAGTTTGCTCAGGAACCTGAAAGTAACTGTTTCATCATTCAGTAAACAGATCCCTGCCTTAACAACACATTCAAACAAGATTCCAGATGGATTTTAAAAATTACATTTAAGAATATGAAACTGCAAAAATATTTATCTGCCCTTGGGATGAAAAGAAATTTTGCTACAAGAAAACAATAGAGAAACTACAAAGGAAAAGATCTCCAAATTAAACCACAAAAAAACTTTAAACTTGTTATATGCTTTAAAAAACAACATGGTAAAAAGAACAAAAGACAAACCTACTGGAAAAACATTGACAATGAACATAAAATACATAATTCAAGTTGAACCATATGAAGTTGTGAATATTCAACTGTTTTTGACCTATAAAAACAATTTTATATGTTTCAGCTAATATGTAAAGAACTCTTACAAATCAATGAAAATAAGATTATGTCCCAAAAGAAAATGGTCAAAGGAAATGTACAATTCATATACAAAAATAATAGTCAACAGTATATGAAACACGTTCCAAAATGAAAGAAATGTATATTTTTTAAAAGATATATTTGATTATTTACTATCTCAAACCAGCAAAAATTGTATTTAAAAATCAGTCCTGCCGTTAAAGAAGGTACATGAAGACAGAAACTCTCATACACTTTCAATGGGAATGTAAATTTGTGAAAAATCCTTTTAGGGAACATTTGAGAAATACATATAAAAAGTTTTTAAAATGCTCACTACCTTTTACACAGAATCTACTTGCACAGAAAATTTAGAAACAACCACATCATAAGAAAAAGGAAAAACATTTTTAAAATCATGGTATAGCTAAAATAGAATCTTTAGAAGCCATTAAAAATCATCTTATAAAATATCTGCTATCAGAAAAAATAGCAAATAAAGAAATATTAAGTATAGAAGCAAAATGTAATACTGCATATGCATTTTATCCTAATTTTAGACCAGGAAAAACATTACCTAAATGCTAATAGGACGGTGACCATCTCTAGTTAGTGAGATTATGGGCTATTTTTATCATGTCTTATAGTTACAAAATAAGATTTAAATTAAAACTATTTCCTTTTCTAAGGAAAAAAAATATATATGTTCCATTTTCCATCCCCAGATAATGAATTTGAATCAACTTAGAAGTTAAATATCTGTGGCACTAAAACTTTTACCTACATCTCTTTTTATGACAAAGCCAATCTTTAAAATGTACAACCTGAAAGTATTTGAAATACAGCTCATAAGAGATAAAAAATGAACAGTTTCTTTTATTTGTGAATACAATAAAACAAATGAACAATAGTTTTAAAAACAAATGAAAAGAAATGCACTCAATCTAATGATCTCTTGTTCAGCTGCACTTTATGCAAAATAGAAATATTTTAAGTTATAAAACTGTAAATCTGGTTTTTATTATTATATATACCAGAGGTGCCAAAAATTGTATAGAAGTGGACACTTCGGTCAATGTTACTCAAGCAGTAGTTCACCGTAATCAGAAGTGTCTGGATGCTGATGGTAACCACTTTGAGCACGTCTTATAATTGCAGAAGTCAAACGTGACTTGTATTCATCTTTTGTTATCAGTATATATTGGGTATTACAATTTTAATACAGTTTTCCTTTCTTAAAATGTGTATACATGTTTTTAGCACCCCCTGTAGATATCAAAGAAATCTTAAAAACTTAAACACTATTTATTACACTCAATTTTCACTCTGCCTCAGTAAGGAGCACACGGTTTACAGGCACTTCCCTTTAAGCCCAACAGGCAAACCTGGTGCAGGCAGCCCTGCCTGAGCCCCAGCAGGCTGGCCTTGGTCACTTGAACACCCTTTGATTCACTTCACCATCATTCAACAGAATAGAAGCTGCAACAGACGTTATACAACAGAAGCTACAAAGGCAAATAAAACATGGTCTTGCCCCATAAGAAACTGGTCTAGCTCTAGCTGTAAAGGTTGAAACGCATTTTTTTTTAAAATAGCAATTATAGCCATTGCCATATAACATGGCAGATGCCATAGCACAGTCGGAAGAGGGTGCAGTCACTGTGCATGAGAGCCGAACGAGGTTTCACACGGCAGAGGACGCAGAAACTGGATCCTGACCTAGAAGCACATCCTCAGAGATGAAAAAAACT